GTTAAAGAAGTTATATACCTGTAGTATCAAATAAATTACTTCTTTTTTCACCAAGACCTAATATAAACAGAAAATTTGACTTCAAACATTAAGGAGTATTCAAGATTTTACATAAATTAAATTTAGAGTCAAGAAATTGTGTGAAAACTGGAACCATTTTGTAGCCCACTAGTAGATTTTAGATATAGTATATTTGTTCAATTTAGAAATTTTTCTTAAAGTGAAACTAAAAGCTATTCTATATTCAAAAACAGGCCAAAACTGGCAGAAATTTGTATGTTAGAGTTACTGTTACATTATATTATGTAAGTTAAATTTTAGTATCATTTCCCTTCTCTCTCTCCTCCACTACCAGTTTACACCTCCATCGTAGTTTTATTTGCACTTCATCCTCAAAGATAAAGTGCAAATAAAACTACATTTTTTTTTATCAATTATTCTATTATGGTTATTTATACATTTACAACTACAAAATGCATTTTTCAGTGTTTTCCTTACTAAAGTTTTTTTTTTTCCAATGTACTACTTAGCTTTAATTTGAGTGTATTTTTTGTGTTGGAATGGATTATTTGGTTTTACATGTAATCATATGGAGAAAAGAGATTCATCTTACGACATTTTCACGATACAATCTCAGTTTAGGAACGGATTAATTTCGTATCCTGAGGTACTACTGTAGTCTCAACTTATTTCTGAAGAAAGTACAGTATCTTAAAGATAGATAGTATATCCAATATATGTTTTTACAACTATTCTATATTTAGATATTTTGTATTCTATATTTATTTAAATTTTATAAATTATTTTTGTAACTTATTTTCTATTTTGAAAGATTTTACTTCATATTTTTATGTATGAAGTATTATGTTAATTAACAAACAGCTAATGTATTTTGTAGGTTATTTTGCTAATAAAATAATATATTGAAATTGATGATTCCACATTTTAACTGCTTTGCAATTAAACAATTATTCTAAAACATTCATAAAAAATTTATAAAATTAATTATAGCATGAAGAAAATTATAGCATAATTTATATAAAATATTGATTCATATCTATACATATTTTATGACTAAAAAAATAGTAAACTTTTTGTTCATATTTTTCGTACATGATTAAATGTGTGTTCAGGAAACCAAATATCAGAAACTGTAAAAGTTTCAAAAATATAAAATAATAAAAACACAGTTTAAAGTTAAACAAAATGGCTTTAATTATAGTTTATATAATTAAGACAGCTGTATTTTATTTTTATTTTAAACATATAAAAGTGTATTTTTCACTTCAATAAATACAAGATTATGAAAAATGGGTTTGAATTCCTATTTTATTTGAAATACAAAAAATTATTTCAGTTTTTAAAATTGTTTAGTAAATTTAGATAACAATAATATTCAAATAATTGCTTATTTTATTATTATTAATGATCTAATGACAACTTTAAAATTTTATATATAATAAAGGAAAGAAAATGGTTAAAAATTTTAAAAATACAACTGTAATAAAGTAATATATGATAAAAATACAGCAAAACTGGATGAGATTACATTTAAAACCACAAATGAACACCTATAATTCAGTTAAAAGGAGCCAATTTATTATAAGAAGAAATATTTTCAACTGTCTTTAAACATCCATCATCAGTTTATATGATTACTAGGTATAAAAGTACTTTTCACAAATTTTTGAAATGTGACTCTTAGTTTATTTAGGTCATAATTCAAAACTTAATAGAAAATTAATTTTAACTTTATTCTAAAATTTTTTATGATCTACTTTAAATATTTGAATATTTTTTATACACAGTCAAATGTTTTTAATTCAAGCACCTGGCAGAATTCTAAAAAGTATGCATTATCAAAAATTTAAATGATACATTTTTGACAATTAAACTCATTTCTTTAACTTTCTAGTATTCATCAATATTCCATATTCTTTGGCAATATCACATTCTTTTTTATTCTAATCATTTTAACTTTTTAAGCTAAAAACAGAATTGTTCCATGTTACATAATAAAAATATCTAAACAACACTATCTATACTCAAGCATTACTAAAACTATGAAAAACATGCCCACACCTCAGGGGTTTATAGAATATGTGCCAAAGCATGTATAAGGTAAGTGGTAAAATGCTATTGTTAAATTNACAATTCTCATTATTCATTATTTCTTCATTATTTTTATTTATAATCTGTGATAATTATTGCATTTTCTATTTAATTCTTGAATAATTGAAGAAGTATTATAAACTTTTAATATTTGTATTACTTTAGCTTTTGGTATTTATACAATATAATTAAATTTAATTAGAACATGTTGCAAGTCTTTAACAATATAAATAAATAATATACTTAAACAACTAAATTAACCTTAACAATGTGTTTAGTTTAATTATACATATGAAAATGTTCATGAATACTTTCTTATATCTTCATAATGTGAATTTTAATAACATTTTAATAAATTGTAATTTAACTAAATATACAGTTTATATAAAAATTAGTAGTAATTACTATACAATCAAAATCATTTGTCTTTTTTTTTTTTCATTGGAATATGGACTTAATCAGTTTCCAGGAGTTGAAGGCATTGTCATAAACCTTGCAAACATACAATACAGATAAAACATCCTGCTGGTAAAATGCAAACTTGTGTAAAAAAGTTCATTTTTAATATAACTAATAATGGTTGGTATAATATGAGTTTATATCCTGGCAATGAGTGAGTCTACACAACCATTACTAGAGAGAGCTGGTATTGTTGAGTTATGAATTTAACAATAGCATTTTACCACTTACCTTATACATGCTTTGGCACATATTCTATAAACCCCTGAGGTGTGGGCATGTTTTTCATAGTTTTAGTAATGCTCTCTAGTAATGGTTGTGTAGACTCACTCATTGCCAGGATATAAACTCATATTATACCAACCATTATTAGTTATATTAAAAATGAACTTTTTTACACAAGTTTGCATTTTACCAGCAGGATGTTTTATCTGTATTGTATGTTTGCAAGGTTTATGACAATGCCTTCAACTCCTGGAAACTGATTAAGTCCATATTCCAATGAAAAAAAAAAAGACAAATGATTTTGATTGTATAGTAATTACTACTAATTTTTATATAAACTGTATATTTAGTTAAATTACAATTTATTAAAATGTTATTAAAATTCACATTATGAAGATATAAGAAAGTATTCATGAACATTTTCATATGTATAATTAAACTAAACACATTGTTAAGGTTAATTTAGTTGTTTAAGTATATTATTTATTTATATTGTTAAAGACTTGCAACATGTTCTAATTAAATTTAATTATATTGTATAAATACCAAAAGCTAAAGTAATACAAATATTAAAAGTTTATAATACTTCTTCAATTATTCAAGAATTAAATAGAAAATGCAATAATTATCACAGATTATAAATAAAAATAATGAAGAAATAATGAATAATGAGAATTGTGTATAAAGTAATTGGAAATATATTGATTGATTGTAAATAAGGTAGTTTTTCATCTGTATATGAAATTATTATCTTAATTAATTTGTTAGAAATATATAATATATAGATAACATATTTATTGATATAATTTTATATGTAAACTATAATCATATAATTATTTTTATTGCATGTGTTTTTACATATATAAACTTTTGGTAACAGCATTGAAAAATCCTAAATTGTTAATAATCCTGCATTTCAGAAATTTATTTAATTGTAATTTTATTAATTGTATTGTGCAATTGTGTTATAATTGTATTAAACAAATGTATTTAAGTTTACTTATTAAATGAAATAAAAATTTTAACTTTGCCATGCAGATATGACTTTCTTTTTGTTTAGGAAAGTGATATAATCACTTTTCTGATGTTAAAGAAGTTATATACCTGTGAACATTAAATAAACATATCCTCATTAAAATGCTATCAATTTTAAAAAAACCATGCTAATAATAGTCGGTATTACCTGGTAATGAATATTGTATGGTAATGATATGGTATCTACACAATCATTACTACAGTGCACTGATATCATTGAGCGATCAAATTAACAATAGAGTTTCACCACTTACCATATACACACTTTGATATGTCCAAAATGCAGTTCTATAAATCAGCTATCTACAATCTACTTTTTCTTTTCAAGTTTCATTCATGAAATATGATATATAATAGTTTTAAATTATTCAAATTTACAGTAAAAAAATTCAAATTAACTGTATTTTTCAAAAATACTAATTTAAGTATAAATTTAAAGAGGTTAAGCTAACTTTTGTCTGTCTTGTAGAAATCTTTTGAGTGGAAAATATTCTGATTTTTATATCAAATCTAAATCAGGATATCTACCAATCTAATATTGCAAAAAGTTTAAAAATTTATGTTGAAGTTTTATTGGAAGAATTATTATTTTATGTGAGGAAACTGAAATATCAATTTTAGTATAGAATCCAAATAAAATCACAATACAAAGAAACTGTAGCAAATGAAATTATAATTTATAAACAATCACATTTCATTTTGATTTTATCTTGATTTCAGTACTAAAAATTTTTTATATCAGTTTCAACATGTAAAATGATTGCTTATTATATAAAAAAACAGACATTTTATATAAAGAGTTCTTAACAGATAATTTTTAATGTTTTAGTTTTTTGNTATTTAAAATTTAATTTTTAAAAATTTATTAAAAAATAATTTAATTACAAAATTGTGAAATCATATTTTTACCATCATTTTGTAAACTAATGTAAAAACCATATTCTAAAAATATATTCTTCAAAATTATTTACCAGTAAATTCTGTATCAACAGCAATGAAGCTAACATCTTTCAAATCATTTTCAAAAATTTTCAAGGCTTCTTTAAAATCTAAAAGTAATCATTATATTTCAAATTTTTAATGAAAAATTAAACATTTTTAAAAATTATTTTTAGTTAGTTACTAAGTTAAATTGATAAATAATTAAAATTGTTTTACATTTTTATTAAATTTTAGAATATATAATTTTCTTCATAAACCAAAACTAATACATGTAATTATTCAAAATAAATGTTTAATTCTTTTACCATCACAAATAAGAATTTTTCATGCCTGATATATTTAGTACCACCAGCCATCATAAGAAATCCTCCTAATTAATAGTAGTAGGAATTCTTAGGAATAATAATTGCCAAAACTTTATTTTATTTTTCTTAAATTGATATGTCATGCAATAATCTTTATTTCATTTCATTGTATTTTGAAATCAATGCATTTTCATCATTGTTCTTATAAATTTTGTGATAAATATTACTTACATTTAACATAATTTGGTCTTAATTTTTAATTACAATAGTAAACATCTTATAACAAGCAGTAGTAAACTGAAAGTATGTATCTCACAATATTTTATGAAAACAAGAAATTTCTTAAAATAAAGAATTTTAATCAAATGATTTATAGAATTTAATAAGTAAAACTAAATAATCCAAAGATATTAAAAATAAAGAAATGTAAGAAATCTATTCTAAAACCTAAACAAAATAAAACATTACTATCCTTCATGAATAGACATTTGTATCTAAAACATAAAACATTTTTATGAGCTTGATATAATTTACCTGCCATCAGATTTTACCAAGCAAGAAACAAAATCTGCTGGCAAAAAGGTTAATAGTTAAAAAACTGTTTATAGTAGCTTTTTAAAACTTTAATTTTTCATAATAAAACCTGTTTACTGTAATCATTTTGATACCATCCTCTACTAATAATGATAACCACTGAAATAAAACTGTAACTTTACAGTAGTCATTAAATCACTTTCAGTATTTCCATAATTAGTGGAAATTTTGGTCTTAATGACTTTGATATTAAAAGGACTTGTTAAAACAATTTAAAAAGATGTTCATGCGTTATTAAACAATTAATTTTTGTCTTAAAAGTTATTGTTTATAACTTTTATACTTGTAATTCAGTTTTAAAACTAATCTATTTTTCCTCATACAGCCAAATCTCAATGTAATATCATCCTATAAGGCAGTGTTTTTCAACTGCCAGTCTGCAAAAAAATTTTATTGATGTGCAGAAAAATATTTGATCATACTGACTGTATATAGTTGATTACAGAAGACATTTAAATAGTAATCTAGAGTTACAGTGCATACTTTGTTATATACAGTAACTTTAGATAAGCATATATAAGTATAATAAATAAGCATAATTACATATAATTACTAGTCCATTAAAATTATCCATAATTTTATCAGTCTACAATGAGAAAAAGATTGAAAAACACTGCTATAAATCACAACCATCCTGAAGAACTAATGAAAACTTATGAATCTTCCTTATAAATATTTAATAGAGAACCGTTCAGTAAATTATCAAATGTATGATTTTGCATTGCAAATGGCATCATCAAATGACGTAACTTTTAAACTCTTGTATATAATAATGTGGTAATAAACTTTTCTAATTGTTTGAGATTCTTCAGCTTACTGCTACACACAATTTAGGGCAAATTTCAAAGGTGAATAAATGATAGCATTAAATTGAGGTTTAACTATGTTAAAAGAATACTTTGTTTTGATAAATATATAGTAATTGACGATTAAACCTTTAAAAATTTTTGAATCAATAAATTTGCTGATTGAATACAAAGAAACTGAACTTTTTTCCATAAAATCATAAAAATATATCAAAATATTTTTTTAAATATAAAAATGAAACCCACACATTAATACAAAAAGCTTTAAATTTGAATTTTAAAAAATTAGAGAAAATCAAGCTAAATTGTAAATTTTTCAATAGTTTATACATTCTATGTTAAATGTAATAATCTTTAAAAATTAAATTACATATCCCTACTTGTAATTAGAAAATAAATTTGATTAATATATACTTGAATGTGATAAATAGACATTGGAAAGGCTCCAATGAGATGGCACTGAATTAGAATTTCTATTTATCACATACAGTTATCAGTAGGATGTAACTTAAATGTGATTTATTGATTTTACTCATCATCATAAATATACAATGCATTCAATATAAGTATATTTAATTTCATGGTCATTAATATATTAAAATGTTACATGCAATTTAATATTTACAGTTACACAGACAATTTGACAAAAACAAAGAAAAATAAGAAAACAACAAACAGCAATATTGTTCTACAGCAATTTCCAAAAATCCATAAATCTTATTACAGACACCAAAGAAATAAAGCCATTCAAAATTAATAGCATATAATATACAAACAATTTTAAAAACTTTTGATTATACTAGCATAAATTATATAAATACATTAAGATTTTATTGAAGAGTTGATGTATTTTTTTTATAATACAAATATAAATAGCTTAATGATAAAAATACATTCTGAGAAGTATGTTGGTAAGCAATTATCATAGAGGTAGCTACTTGAAGAAATCTATATGATAGAATCTATTACTCATATAAGCTATTTAACTTATATAACACAATTGCAATACAATGGTATTATATATGTAACACAGTGATAAGTGTTTATGTATCTAAAGATAGAAAATGTATAAGTGACAAATTTTTCAGCTCCATCTCATGTGACCTTCACATATGTAACACATACTTCCATTGAATGTTGAATAATATCCAGCAGTATTATAAAACCTTTAACTTCAATAATCCAGTAAAATTTTTAATCAAACTAATCTTTCTCACTATTTTCAAAAGTATGTTCAGATCTTCAGATCTTAGAATTTTATACAAAGAAATATATGATTTAGAAAAAATTGAATAATAATTACATAATGGATTTTCAAATTTAAAATATAGCAACAATTATTAAATTAAATACCATTAATAAACAACATTTAATTTATCTCTGCATATGATATTTTATAAAGTTGTTGACATAAACACTGTCAAGAGTATGGCAAAAGCTTTATACTCTTTAACATCACAATTTTAAAATGGTCAAGTATTTTATGGGGCACATCATAAATCTAGGTGTAGATTTATGATGCGTTTCATTTTCATCTGTCAGGAGTCTTGATATTCTTGCATGATGAGTGCCTCATGCTATATGCATTTGTGCTTTGTTTATGGTTTGCTTTGTTAGTGTTACATTCTACTCATGACTATCAGTCAATTTATTGACTTTCATTGCAATTATTAAGGACAATGATTTTTCTGGTTGTGATTTATTTCCTATCTGTCTTACTTTTTCTTATCATACAGAATATCTTTTTCATTTGCCACACTGCAATGCATGGGAGGTCCTATTATGCTAAGAGGCAAAACCATCACCAGCCTATTTACTATTTTATAAAGATTACAAATGTTTGTATAATATCACAAATCTCAAAGAACCATCTAGTTTCTTTTCCTGAGAAACTTCATATTCATATGTCTGTATATTCTTAAGTGATGAATCAGATGTTCCTTCTTCCTGGGTGGAGAAACTGTAATGCTGCTCAATACTTTGGTGTAACTGTAAAAGTAACTTGTTTCCTTCTGATGATGAGTTAGGTGGCCATAATTGATTTAACTGTCAACATAAGAGCACTAAAATTGCCAAACTTGAAGATACAATTTAACATATCTGCAATTTAAAATTATCTTATTTGAGCTAAAATTCTCATACTTACAGATATTTTTATATATGTTTATTGGTATAGACCAAAATACATATATAAAAATATCAATCTTGGTTCTTTCCCAAGTGAATGAATCTGAGAACATCATTCTGGTTCACTTCAGTCATTTGTAATAAAATACATACAATATTGTCAGCATATACTATATATTGGTATTATACTCATTAAATGAAGTGTTTATATTATCTTATCCCAAATTCCAAATGATACCAAATTCCATGATACCAAATTCTTTAAAAATGCTGACAAAAGAGAAAAGTAGCCTGTCCACTGATAGAGCATACAAAACGCTGATGGTGGCAAATATGCATGTTGACCTTTTTGATTTAAATTACATCATAAAACACTTGTTTGTTAGATTGAAGTAATTTATATTATTTTTATATAGAGTTAACAAATCTAAGGATCTTCCAATGAATAAATATACCTTAACTCAGTGGAAATTTTTTTAATATACAAATGTTTTTTTGCTTCTACTTGTGATAATCCAGATGACCCCTTTTTAATTTTTCATCCTGTCCACATTAAATAAACCTATAGTAATTTCAATTATCCAACTTTTATCGGGATTTTTAAAATAATTAAAAATAAGAAAAACTGGAATAAAATTAATATAACCAAAAAAGATTACAAACTTCAACATCCTGCAAAAATACTCTATAATGCAACATTTAGTAAGAAATAAGGATGTTTTGGTTCCTTCCTCCACTCCTTCTCTCTTAGAATTTTGCACACCATCTAGTCAATTGACACATCTGTACGAATCGTTATTGGGAAATACTCCATAATAAAAAGGGGGAATTAGAGAGACTCAGGCAGTTCTTTCCAGAGACCTTGCCATAGAAAGGCAGTTCCTCCCAGATAGAACATGCCATATGACCCCTCCTTCTAACGTCTAGCATCAGGCGCCGACCTACACATAATCAGCTCATCCAGCATGACCCACGAGGTAATATGATTTATTGTGAACTCTCTCTCTCGGTAGAACAGATAGATCCTAGGCTAGCGATAGGATATAATTCATGTATTTTCCATATTACTCATCTGTATTTTTATTATTTACTAGTGTTATTGTTAATTCTGATTAAATTGACGTTTTCTATATAAAATGGACCTTCCTAGTCTCTTTATTTATTCCTTATGCACAACCCCATACAAAATCTTACCACTCAGGTTCTGTTTAAAAATAAGCCATCCAGTGACAAAGTGAGCAGGTCTAACAGATCTGACGATTAGAGGGCCTTGACCCTCGTCTGTATTCCCACATACTACATAGCCTTTACTAACCAAGAGGCTTTGAATAAATATTTAAAATATAAACTAACAGAAACAATGTTTGACAAATAGAACATGAACAAGCAAGATACTGCAATGCATCTTAACATATGCATTGCTATTATTAGATACTGTTTATATGCTAAATAATAAAATGTATTTATATGTATTGCCAAGAAACATTATCTAACAAGAATGATGCCATCATTGCCAACTTCATGGCTAAATAAAATCATTTTTTTTTTTAATCTTTACTACTATGGTAATTTTAATATAGTAGCATCTGTTATAAATTTCACACTTTAGTAAAAAATAAAAATACTAAATAAAACTCAGATACTTATTTATTCCAAGAAGAGCAACTATAATTTCTTTAAATAACATACATAAAAATAATGAATTAACTCATTAAAAATACAAGGTGGTCTAACAAGTCTTGAAATAAACTGAGTGACATGTTGTATATTTACATTTTATCATTCACTTCAGATGACCAACACAAGCTACCAAAGCTCCTATAGTATAAAAGAATAGCTCACTGCAAGCATACAGGCTGGTAAACTTCCACACAGAACATGGTGCTAAATCATTTCGTGATGCAAAAATAATGGTGCTTGTACTGATCTTCTGAATGCTTCAACAATGTAACAAATATAACAAAATAAGAGCAAATATATCCAATCAGTGCATTACTCTGTTGTGGTACATAATATTTTATTCAGAAGTAAAAGACGTCAGTCTGTGAGGTCAGCAGTCTGCAACCTTTCTGACCTCACAGACCATAAAACTCACAATTTTGGATTCCGCGAACCACTATCATGAATTTTTTTAAACGATACAAAATCTGTAGAATAATGATCATAAAAGTTCAATTTTACTATATTAATATGAAACTCGCTTTAATTATAACAAATTACTGCAGGCCTAAAGTTTGTTGCTGCTTGTTTGAAATAAGTTTATGGATTCTTAGTGCTTTTCCACGAAGGACAACAATCGCACTAACAATATTGTTTATTGTTCATTATTTATTGATAACAGTCACTTCATATTATGAGGAAAAAGAAATCCATTATTTTTACGTTCATTTCAAGTCTTTATTTAACATGGTTCCGGTTGTTCGACTTGGATCAAATATGCACCGTTTTGTTTTATAATTTGTTGCCATTTTAAAGGTAACTTCATAATTCCTCTCTCGTAGAAGCCCTGCTCCCTATTGGCGAAAAACTTGACTAAGTGATTTTCGCAATCCTCTCTTGATGCCAATTTCTTATCACCGAGGAAATTTTGTAATGATAAAAAAAGATGGTAATCGCTTGGTGCCAGGTCTGGACTATAAGGTGGATGCATCAAAACTTCCCAACCAAGCTCCTGGAATTTCTGGCGAGTCACTATAGATGTGTGTGGCCTGGCGTTGTTGTGATGAAGTACAACACCTCTTCTGTTAGCCAATTCTGGCTGCTTCTGATCAATCGCTAGCTTCAAACGGTCCAATTGTTGACAGTAGAGGTCCGAATTTAGTGTTTGGCCATATGGAAGCAGCTCATAGTAGATGATTCCTTTCCAGTCCCGCCAAATGCACAGCAAAACCTTCCTGGCTGTTAGTCCTGGTTTAGCCACCGTTTGAGCCGCTTCACCACACTGACCACGATCGTTATCGCACAATATTGCCATATGTAACCCATTTCTCATCCCCAGTCACCATCCGTTTAAGAAATGGGTCGATTTCGTTCCGTTTGGCCAAGGCTTCGCAGATGGAAATTCGATCCATAATGTTTTCTTCCGTCAATTCATGTGGCACCCAAACATCAAGCTTCTTTTTGAATCCAGCTTTATTCAGATGGTTTAGAACTGTTTTATGGTCAATCTTTAGCTCCTGGGCAATGCTACGAGTGCTAACGTGCCAGTCTACTTCTATCATTTCCATGATTTTATTGACATTTTCGACAACGGGCCTACCTGTGCGAGGTGCATCTTTAACATCGAAATTACCAGAACGGAACTGACGAAACCAAAATTGCACATAATTGGCTGTGACAGTATCAGGACCATAAACACCATTCACAATTTCAGCTGCCTGGCTTGCATTTTCGCCTTTATCGAAGCAAAATTGTAAAACATACCTAATTTTCTCTTTGTTAACTTCCATCTTTTACACCCTATAACTCACAACTGAATTGACCAATCAAAAAACTGTAAAAGAATTTTTTTTTAGTACAGAATGTCACTTTTCCAATAAGCACAAGTCTGAACTTGTGTCATCAATATTTTACGAGATATGTATCACTACAGCCATCTAGTGAAAAAATAATGGATTTCTTTTTCCCCAACCTATTATTTGGTTTTAGAGTCAAATAAAAATTCCCCAATGAGTAAGAAAAGGCAATTAATTAAGCATTTTTCATTTCTTTTGTAATACTTTGCATAACTTTGAGTTGATCAATGTCCAAATTTCTCCACAGACCATCCAAATTTTCTCGTGGACCATCAATGGTTCACTGATCACTGGTTGCCGACCGCTGTTTCAGACCACCCCATATAATATATTTACACCGATATGAATGAAAAACTTGTATTTTAATTTAATACAGAATATTTAAGAGGGACAACATATCTCAGATATATTTTGCATTTTCATTGTAGTAGTTCTAATAAATATTACAATAAATGACTGTTGTTAATAACTCAACTGTTAACAAAGATCTTATTGGAATAGTTATCAGTTGCATCATTAGCAAAGTGCTTACTATAAGCATTAGTATTACAAAGATTCAAGATTAGGTCAGGTATAAAAGGTAATTTCTCTTCAGCTTCCGTGAAGAAAGTTTATTCCTGAATTATTGGTTATCGAATTACACTTTTATTGTATTCCTTTTACTTTTATTTGTAGATCTGCATTATTTTATATCTTATAAAATTTATAAATGAACCAAAAGAATCAACTCAAATTTATTTAACAAGCTGATTACATTTTATTATTAAAACTAAGAATTACTCTAGTAATAGCTTTATCTTATTGACTTTAATGATTATTTTTTCTTCCCTTTTTTTTTATTTTTTTGCATTTCGTTATTATAAATCATCTTAAATATCACCTTACTTTTAGAGGTAACTTCCATCTTTCCACATTTCAAATATCCCTTACTCCGTTCATAGACATCTTTCAAAAAAGTGTCANATAATGGATTTCTTTTTCCCCAACCTATTATTTGGTTTTAGAGTCAAATAAAAATTCCCCAATGAGTAAGAAAAGGCAATTAATTAAGCATTTTTCATTTCTTTTGTAATACTTTGCATAACTTTGAGTTGATCAATGTCCAAATTTCTCCACAGACCATCCAAATTTTCTCGTGGACCATCAATGGTTCACTGATCACTGGTTGCCGACCGCTGTTTCAGACCACCCCATATAATATATTTACACCGATATGAATGAAAAACTTGTATTTTAATTTAATACAGAATATTTAAGAGGGACAACATATCTCAGATATATTTTGCATTTTCATTGTAGTAGTTCTAATAAATATTACAATAAATGACTGTTGTTAATAACTCAACTGTTAACAAAAATCTTATTGGAATAGTTATCAGTTGCATCATTAGCAAAGTGCTTACTATAAGCATTAGTATTACAAAGATTCAAGATTAGGTCAGGTATAAAAGGTAATTTCTCTTCAGCTTCCGTGAAGAAAGTTTATTCCTGAATTATTGGTTATCGAATTACACTTTTATTGTATTCCTTTTACTTTTATTTGTAGATCTGCATTATTTTATATCTTATAAAATTTATAAATGAACCAAAAGAATCAACTCAAATTTATTTAACAAGCTGATTACATTTTATTATTAAAACTAAGAATTACTCTAGTAATAGCTTTATCTTATTGACTTTAATGATTATTTTTTCTTCCCTTTTTTTTTATTTTTTTGCATTTCGTTATTATAAATCATCTTAAATATCACCTTACTTTTAGAGGTAACTTCCATCTTTCCACATTTCAAATATCCCTTACTCCGTTCATAGACATCTTTCAAAAAAGTGTCATTATTTTATTAGTTAAAAAAAAAGTATTTTAATATTTTTAGTATCTTTTTCTTTATATATTAAGTAATTCTGAAAAGTATAAAATTAAAATAAATGTAATTTATAAATAATTATTAAAGATGTGAATTATATCTATAACAATTCGCTTTTCCGTTTTAGTATTTATTATAGGGAATGCACGGATTCTTGAATGTAATATTAAATAAATGTTTAATATTTAATTTTTTTTACTGCGTTCAACTTTAATTATTTAAAGTTAAATAATAATTATCTTCAAGATTAATTTATCAAAATGAATTCAGAAAATACGAATCAACTTGCATCATAGACCAAAATTCAAGAAAACACAAATTCTTAATATTTTATCACAAAATTCGATTATCACTACTGTATTTCAATTATTTTCAATTTTTATATTCATAAAATTATAAGCTAAACTTTATGAATACCAAATTATTATAATTGATTGATTTTGTCAAAATGACATAACAGCTCATTACTGTATACGACCAGCCGCAATTTTGCCCATTATGAGCGGTCCTGAATCTCAAAAAATTGGCCAGCATTAGTGGCTAAATAATATGGCCGAGCGGTTAAGATGCCAGCACACTCCACTCTGTGAGACCCGAGATCGAATCAGAACAGAAAGAAAAACTTCAGAAATTTTTACTAATCTTCAATACTGGCGGCCGGATGGCCGAGCGGTCTAGGTGGCATCCTACCGCTCTGGTGGACCCCGGATCGAATCTGGACGGGTCGAAAAATTCCCAGAAATATTTCGGGGAGTGGTCCGTCTGGATATGTCGGGTCCCGTCCTTTACCATCCGGCCGCCCCATTGTGGACCTGGATGAACCCACAGTGAGCTTGCTAAAAGAGGCCCTCTTAGTACCCACAGGGCGGAAAGAGTTTAAAAAAATCTTCAATGCAGTAATACCTCGACTTACAGTAATACCTCGATTTTCAAATCTTGTCGATTCGTCTTCTGTTTGAGCGCCACGCAACTCTTGATTACTCACTCCCCCTACACTATTGTTTAGCTTACATGTTCGGACGTGTCGCGCGGAATTGACACATAGCTACAATTTATTTTGTGTTATTTATTTCTGTGTTTGTTATATCTACGGAGACTCGAGAGACTCTATGTGGTGATTTCTTGTAACCGTGAACGAATCAAAAGAAGAGATAAGATTAACGAGAACATTTATTAGCTTACTTATATCCGACTTGGATTTTACACAAATTGCGAAATTATACCCCGACGTACGCGAATTCGACTTACGCAGTTATCGCTCGGTCCCATCTATCGCGTAAGTTCGGGATATTACTGTATTCAATTCCCTAAGAATTACTTTAGTTACACTGTTAGAAATTTTGGTGTGAATTTATGGCTATATAAATGGCAATTATTAGAGTTGTGGCCGCCAGCGCCAGAGATCCTGAACACTGTCTGGCAACACTTGCCAACAAGAGTGGCTGGCAACGTCAAAAAAGAAAAGGCGCGAAAGTTCGTTGGATTTTGTCCGGGTGTTGCCCGAGGATGTCTGTGACAGTTCTAACCTTTTCTAATAAAGTTCTTTTTTGTTACTGTTCGTGTTTGCCTGCTTAATGTTAGATCTAAACATCAGTAGGATTGAATGACAAAGTGGTGACCCGAACGTGATCCGATTAATGAACTACCTGGACTTTTGACTGAATTGGATAGCGAACAACTCTGTGTCTATGATGGAACTTTTTTAACAGGATATGCAGGTATGATCAGTTTCTAAATCGTAAATTCGATAGGAAGACGGTGGGTAAATCTTACCGAAGACTAGGAG